ACCTGTGTCCCATGGAGGTCGGCCCTCCCCATGTAAAATACATGACCTTGCAGTTCAATAGCAACAAGATGGCATGGTAACTGATGCCAGCTGCCTACACTTTCCATAGCATGTATAAGAACAATCTCTATTTTGAAGATTTCTATCATGGAAGTGTTTCTACTTTAGTACCCAGATACACAGTACACAGTACTAATCAGCCCTCCACTTTCCTCACGTTCACATACACACCCTCTGAAAATACTTTCAAAGACTACACTGAGCAGAAGGAGACAAAGTTGGTAAGGTGGCTGGCGAGGTTTGCCCCTAATCATAACCATCTCTACAACAAAGTCCACTGTGACAGAGAAGATCAGCCACCTCCACCCTGACCAGCAGTACTGTACGCTGAGAACTGTAACTCTCCAGTGAGCCAATTGCAGGGATTTTGTGATGTGGGTAAATTAGAGGAGGGCATGTGGTCTCTGAGGGTCTCAGGCTGCTTTGCAAACTTCATTGCTAGGTAGGTTAGTAGCATGGCCAATTTTCTGGCAGACAGAGAGAAGCTAAGTAAGCCACCTAAGATCATGCAGTAGATCAGGGAATCAAACCAATGGACCCAGCTCATCCTTGTGTTTGCCTTCTCAGGAGGGAACATGAGTTGCACCAAAGCAAGAGAAAATCCAGGTCCTCATCCATAACCTGAACACCACGATAGAGGGACACAAATTAGCAGTTAGACTCCATAGCAGTGACTTGGGGAAAGGAGCAGGTTTACAACAGACTACAAAATACAGAAGAATGCATGATGATCTGGGCATGAAAAGTACAACTGACTCATGCCTTATTTTATTTGTAACGGTGCATGCCAAATGCCTGTGCAAGCTAGCCGTCTCACTAGGACTGTGAGGATTATATATCTTTCAGATATACATAGAGCCAGAGACAGAGATAGAGAGGAGTCTTGTGGGTGTCTGGGTGCTGTTGGCATGAATAAATAAACCTCTTTGTAAAAGTGGCTCCTGCCTTGGTGAACTGAACCCACAACGCAAAAATAGCCATGGGAACTAGAACAAATGATGTTGCAATCTTACATCCCATCAAATTCGAACTGCACATCTGTATTACCCCACAACTCCAGTCCTGTCCTAGTCAGCAAAGATTTCATAATGCAGGCAGATGTCTAAGATGGACTAAGGATCTGCAGAACTTCAGTGTAAGCTAGGCATCTCTGGGAGAGAGTTTTACACTGATAGCTCAGGTACTGCTAGCCACATAGCTGTGCAAGCATAGAGCGCATCCCAAGCTGCACAGCACACCTGAGAAGTTGTGCAAGTGCTGACCCACAGTGCCGAACTCTATGGTTGCAGCTGCTCTGGTATCAGGACCCATGCTAACCAGGGTATGTTTACGATGACCATACCAAACTAGTTTTCAGGACTGGCTTTTAGTTCTCTTTGACTACCATACCCAAACAGCCAGGACTGCAAAGGGAAACTGGCTCAAAAGCTTGCTGGTTGGTTGCCCAATGCAAAAGCTTGCTGCAGAGGGAAGTGGATATTAGTTTTCTTTTGTACCAACCCTTGAGGAAGCCAGCTGCAAAAAGAACAATCCTGATGAGTTGCAGTTGGCCCACAGCTCCAGGAAAGACTAATAGATGAGGAAATGAATGAATCTTGGCTTCCCTTTATGCATTACTTACAAATCTGTATTATTGTGAAACAGCCTGCAGCTTTAAGAAGTCCCTGTTATGAAACAGGGGACATCACTGAAAGTGGGAGCCTATAAAAGCTTCAGGACCTTCAGCAGTGCATTTAGGGTCCTTTTATTGACCCTGTGATGTCTAAACTTGGAAGGTGCATTTTGCCATGTTTCCTGGTTTCGCACCACAGGAAGTCAGGTTTTTATAAACCAAAGGTGAGAGAGTCTCATGCCAGGAACTGAGGCTTCAAGAAAGTTGGTAAGTGTTGAAACACCACTAAAATCTAAAAAAAGCTTAACCATGGACAGAAGGTGAATGGAGAACAGACAAACAGTGTTTTAAGTTGTAAGCAGAAAGCTATACAATAGGAGGAACTCACCAAAGAGGGATTTTCTGCTCAATCTGATCAAGTTAATGCCTTTCTTCCTAAAACAAGCAATTGCTCCTCTTACATCTGTGGCCAGTGGAAGGTGCATCACAGCATATACAGCAAAGAACTATACTGACAGTCAACCAGAATCGGGAGATCCTTACTTAAGCATGGGAGTACATCTAAGTAAGGGCAGACTGGGGGTGTGCCTAACCTGCAAGCTACCTATAGGTTCAGATTTGCATGCATACCTTACCCATACTCCTCTAGCATTCACACTTAAAGCCCTTATACCCTTGCCCAGAGGTAAGAATGTACAGCGCTTTAAGCACTTCTCTGTTTCCAGTAAATGCTGCATTAAGCCTATACCCATCCCTTTACCTGTATGCTTTGCAGCAGGGATGTAGTATGATAGCAAGCAACATGCTCATGTCCACGCTGTTCTCTACTGGCATTCCCACAATCCCATGGACCAGCATCCTCTGGCTCTTCTGCATTCTTCCTACTTACCTTCTTCTCACCAGAAACTGTATGGCACTTAACATCACTCTGCTTTGTCTTTAATCCTTTATTTTCCTAGCAGGCTGCTAGTATATAGCTGGCCCCTGCTCTGACAAGCTAAAAGTTGCCCTGTCAACATCCATCTAGGTGACTAGAGGAGCATTCACGAGGAGACCATGATTTTAATATATGCCACTGTAATGCCAACTCAAAGTGGTTGACTGTTGAGTATCTCTCAGGCTGCTTGGAGCAAAGCAAGGACCTTACATAGTAATACTTCAAGGCTGAGGATGTTAAATAGAGGTCCAGCAATGCACCTGCTCCATTGGAGTTCAAGTACTGACCTGCTGCCTCCTACAACAGGGTCTTGTCTATAGAGGGAAGAACTGAGAGCTCCACAGGAATGAAAGGATGAGATTGGAGATCAGCTTCTGGTTCATCAGGAACTGCCTGCTGA